TTTTCTTCTTCTATTATTTCCGTAAAAAAAGCGGAGCAAAAGCAAGAATTCAGTTTGTGTTGGGTACTTTCAAATGTGCTCTTTCTTGTGGTTTGTGAAAGAACTTTTTAGAGCAGATGGTGTGCTCGAGAATCAAGCTTCAAAAATATGTCGGAAATCGACAACCCCGTTTCCGACAGTCCCAATTTAATTCTTTTGCTTTATGAATTGCATAGAGTTCAAGGTCAGCATCATGAACGGCTTCTTTTTCAATGGTTCTTTTCAGATAAAATTCGCTCAGCATAAATTCTTTAATTTGTTTTAATTTTTCTAATCTTGTGCCATTGTTTTCGATATATTTTCTAAATCTTGGAATATAATTCATGGATTTGATTTTCATAAATCGATGGGAAATAGTTGCAAATCTCGCATTTGGATGTTGGTCAATCCATTCGATTATATTTTCCATTTCTTCTAATGTAAAACGATTTTCTATATCAGAATATTCATTCTCACTATAATCATGAATTTCATCATCGGTTTCTTCTTCGTCAGTCATTCCATCATATTCATCTTCAAATCCGAGAGTATCATAGGTATACAGCTCACTAAAGTAGCTGTCTTTAAATGACTTCAGAACTTCGAATAATCGTTCTGCAGTAAAAACTTCATCGACTGTTGTGGCAAAATTTTCAGAGCCATATTCAGTTTGAGCCAAATAGAGAAGATGTTCGTGATGTTCAATAAATTCATATTTTTATTTGATGAATAAGCCTTTTTTACTTAGTAGATACAGCAGAGAACAAAAGAGAATAATTCTTCGATAATATATTTCTTTGTGATTTCTTAACACCAATTACAAAGAAATGGTCAATAGGAACTGTTCACATATTAAATGTTTTTTCTTTTTAAAACCTTTCCTTCGGCACTAACATTCGCGTGATTATAATTTGTAAAAAAAAGCCTGTGATATCATTATTCACATCCCATCTCATCAATAATGCCTAACTTTTGCCAATTTACAGTAGTAAAAATGGCGATTGATCACTATTTTGATTCAATGTCACTATTAATCGACAAAATTTAGGAGATCTTGACGGCATGAAATGTCGTCTGTCTGTCATGCTTAACAATGGCATAATATATAAAAAGCTTTTTAGAGCACCACGTGATGCATCAATGCACTTAAAGTTCAAATATTATAGTACAAGTCATTTTTCAAACGTATCATATACCTTTTTTTTTATTTCGATACTACTTAAGCCACAGAAGACATCGAACTAATGTGATCTTATGTAAATGATATACTTTGGAAAGATTCTTAATGCCTTCTATTACAATACTTAGTCAATTGCTTGAAAATTAATGTAAAATAGTGCTCTTCAGAAATATGTACACATGGCAAGCAACCAAGTGTCTAGAAGAGTGTCCCCTAGAAAACGTCTACGAAATTCATAGTAAAAGAGGCATCGACAACAATACGTCCACAAAAACGTATCAATATAGAAGGGTATTATTTGGAAATCTCTTCAAACTTTGCTGTTTCATGTATTTGATCTCAAGTAAGGACACGCCAAGAATAATAGCGTCCAAAAAAACGTCATCTAGAAAACGTCTACGAAAAAGCAACAGTTTCGTCGAATAAAAGAGATTCTTCGAAAATGTTCGGCTCTACACGGCTGGTCTAAGTACATTCTTATATATAGATGTCCACAGAATTTACATCGGTTACTTGTACACTCAAATCGTTTGGGAAATTTAACGGATCTTGTTCCATCATCTGCGACTGAACAGACGGCTCAGATCCAAGAAATGTTCAAGAAAACACTGTCTCTTCTGTAGTTAGTTATAGGTAGCTGTACGAGTCTCTATACTGCATCAGGAATAAAAGTAAATCTGAATCAAACACTGAATTGTGGCCTAATATGTGTTACTATATTCCCGGTTAAACACAAAGCACGTATACATAAATGATTAATATCTCTTTCTTTCTAACTATGCTATCTTTTTTGCTTATCTTCTGTATTCTTCGGAAATATGTACAGATGGCAAGCAACCAAGTGTCTAGAAGAGTGCCCTCTAGAAAACGTCTACGAAATTCATAGTAAAAGAGGCATCGACAACAATACGTCCACAAAAACGTATCAATATAGAAGGGTATTATTTGGAAATCTCTTCAAACTTTGCTGTTTCATGTATTTGATCTCAAGTAAGGACACGACAAGAATAATAGCGTCCAAAAAAGCGTCGTCTAGAAAACGTCTACGAAAAAGCATATTAAACAAGGTATAGACTTTTCTAGAATGAGATGCATTTTGAACTCAACAGCTGTTATTGAAAACAATATCGTAACCAGCACAAAACTATAAGTTTAATAGATAATTGTATTTTGTTTTACTATATATTTGTACAACTTTTAATATAATAATATATCATTTTAATGCCAAATCTAAGAAGTACCTGTTAAGATTTGCACATTATTCATACAAAATTTCCTGAAAATTTTCAGGACACTCTGGAAAAGTTACTGAACAGTTGTTTCAGACAATATATTTTCAAAATGGTGATTCAGTGAGCTGTTCAGTTTTTGTTATGTTAGTAAGCGGATCTCAGATATTCGCCAGTGCACCTAGCAGGAACGTTTCATTTGCTCATAATATTAACAAAGTTGCTGCGTTGGCTTTTTTACCACCCGACCAAGTTGTTGAAGATTTCGATTTAATATGTGAAGAGCATCTTTCGAAAAAATATGGAAGGAAAAAATATCGAAAAATAAATGCCGAAGCAACTATGGTAGAAAAAAAAGTGTCGATTATATAAAACGTCGAAAATTTTAAGATGTCGACAGTTGAGTGACGCCGACATTTGAGCGACCCGACACTTGAGCGACCGACATGAAACCTCAGAGAAGTTGGATGGTGACTAGTCATTTTGTGATCCAGTTACAGATGTACAGTTTCGCATGATGAAAATATGTTTTGTGTGAAACTACTTTTCGAACTCACTCTCACACTGCCCACATCCCCATCTCCCACGACACACTGCAGAAAACATCCAAATGTGTACTCGGAAAAATTCGTGGAAGAGTCGGGATCCTGTTCGCGGTAATGTCGGTCGCTCAAATGTCGGTTGACGGTTATCGACAACTGACTCTGGATGGTATACTGTGTTACTTTTTTATAGTTAATTTTAATCATCAATACATCTGTTTTTCCCATCATTCTTTCGACATTTTTTCCGTCGACATTTTTTTTTCGACGTTTTCAATGCAGACCGCTACCTTGGTCTTTAATATAATGGTATACAAAGGAGAAATAATGCTGCTGGAAGTTCTATCATTATTGTTATCACTGGTTACTTTGATCCATGGTCAGACAACATCCACCGTGTCATTTAGAGCCTGTCCGTTGTCGGATGCTTCTGTGATGACCATGCCAGGTTGTAAACAGGATCCTTCAGCCACAGTTTATGGACGCAACGGTTATTTCACAGCATCAGCATGGACATATAATACAGCCCCTCAGCCATGCCCATTTGGAAAAATACGCGCTTTGCTTAAGTTCAATCAAATGAGTTTATCAATCCCTCCAAACGCACACATTACAAGCGCCACGCTAAGATTATTTGGCGCTGGTTCTGGAGCTTTCTCTTGGTATCTTGGTGCACCATATGTTGTATACTATCCAAGCCATTTCAATTCAAATGAATTGAATATTACACGAATAACTGCACAGTGGAATCCATTAACAGTCACCTGGAATTCACAACCACAATGAGGTGTTTCGGTTGTAACTATGCCAGCCTCTACTAGCAGTTCTTACTACAATCCATGTGTAGATGTGACATCATTAGTGCAAGAGATGGTGAATAGCAACACGTATTATGGATTCAAATTCACGCTTCAAACAGAAGATTACTATAGAAGTATGCAATTCTTCTCAAGCGATGAAAAAGATTCATCAAAACGTCCACTTTTGGAGGTTAGTTACACTTTACCTTGTGCAAAAAGCATCAAATTTGTGAACCAAACATCAGCAGCATTTTCACAAGTTCCAGACAAGTTCAATTCAAAACAGGTGGCAAAGAAGAAGCCGTAGTTTACCCAGCGAAAACATTTTCTCAAGAAACTGTTCAATATACTTTATCACTGTAATCTATATCTATCTTCCCTGCTAGGCGCACTGGCGAATATCTGAGACCCGCTTTACTAACATAACAAAAACTGAACAGCTCACTGAATCACCATTTTGAAAATATATTTTCTGAAACAACTGTTCAATAACTTTTTCAGAGTGTCTTTTCCAACCTTCTCTCCTTTTTAGACTAATTTGGCATGAAAGGAATCATTACCTAAATAAGGTTGTTTAATTTTGTTTGCCATGCCTTCTGACCAGTTGTTTATTATTAGCTGATAGTAACATATATATATATCGGTTTTTAATCAATAAATATCTTACATATGAAAAAACTCGTCTTTGAAATGCAGAGTTTTACTGAGTGTTATATCTATCCTTGAACGACAGAGAATTTGAAGACGTGTTCAGGAAGCTTTCGTGAATACTTCTTTCGTATTTGAACTTACATATAACCAACAGTTTAGTCGAATAAAAGAGATTCTTCGAAAATGTTCGGCTCCACACGACTGGTCTAACTACATTCTTATATATAGATGTCCACAGACTTTACATCGGTTACTTGTACACTCAAATCATTTGGAACCTTAAATATAACCGTATCTTTTAGGTGACCTTCGTTTTACTACATCAGGAGTAAAACTAAATCTGAATTAAACACGGAATTGTGACAGTAATATGTGTTACTATATTCTATGTAGGCGCTGTGGCGAGAAGTATACCTACGAAATACTATGTATTTGGATTTCGTTCTTTCTGAATCCCGTGCAATGGTATTCTATATGAAGAAAATAATAGCTGTTTCTGATAGTCGCTCCGTGCATGACTTTGGAAAGAGAAAAGTATAGTCATTTGTTATCTGTCAACTTACATATTTTGTTTTATTTTACATAAATCAGTTCCGACCTTTTATCGAAACCGATTTGTCAGAAAAATATCAAAAA